AGAGAAAGGTCTTCCGTCCGCTTGTTCACTCCCTAGATGGCCACAATGGCTGGAGTTACACCAATCCGAATCCAGGAACCAGGAGTTTCTCCTGGTCTCCCAGGTAGGAGCAGGGGCCCAGGGACTAAGCCATCTTCTATTGCTTTCTCAGGCCATATCAGAGAGCTGGATGAAAAAAGGAGCAGCCAGGACTAGAACCGGTACCCATATGGGATGCTGGCGCCACAGGTGGAGGATTAACCTGTGCCACAGTGCCAGCTCCAGAGGTTACATTTTTATCTATGTAAAAATTAAGAATGGGGACAGGAAAGGAAGGAGGAGAAAGGGTAGGGGCATAGGTGGGAGGTAGGGTGGTGGGGGAAGTTATCACCATGTTCCTGAATCTGTATATAGCAAATGCATGAAATTTGTATACCTTAAATAAATTTTAAAAAAAGAAGTAGCATTTTAAATACACATTATAATCAAAGGCCTAATGCTCCACTAAATAAAGAGTTCAACAAATGAAATGTAAAAAGATTCTAGTTTAGCAGAAATATAGGCAAGGACTATACATAATAATCCAATAAAAATATGTCAATTTCAGTAATATACAGTAAATTTTAAAATCACAAATCATTAAATCTATAGTAGTATATCATTCTTAATCATTTAGCAAAGATATAAAGCAAAGTTTGGCAAATCTGTACTTGCAGCAATACTGATAAACAAAGGCATCTCTCTCCTTCTCTCTTTGATTTTTAGCAATCAGGGAAATGCAAGTCAGAATCACAATGAGGTATCACCTCATCCCCGTCAGAATGGCTAGTATCCACAGTTACATATGCTGCCCAGGAGTTGAGAAAGGGGAACTCTGTACACTGTATCAGGCAATGTAAATTAGTACAGCTCCTGGGGAACACAGTATGGAGACTTCTTTAAAAACTAGAAATACACTTGTCATATGATCCCACTATTGAGTACATACCCAAAAGACACAAACACATCGTATCAAAGAGATACCTGCACCACCATGTTTATAGTAGCACTATTCACAACAGTAAAAATACGGAATCAACCAAAGTACCCCATGTCAGGTAAATGAAAAAGAAAATGTGAGATAGATAGGTTGATAGATAGATAGATAATGAATATCACTGTTATAAAAAAGAATGAAGTTCTATCATTCACATCAAAATGGATTCAACTGGAGGACATCACATTGACTTAAATAAAGTATACACAGAAAGACAAATACTACACATTCTCCTTTATATGTGAGAGCCAAAATTGAAAACAGAAAATCTTTGAGCTCTGATTTAGAACACTTAAGTTGAAGCATGGCCTTTCCAGTTCTATGAGTTTCTGTTTACAATGTAAAAGCTATTCAATTTTTTAAAATGCATAGTTTCATATTTTATATATTTTAAAAAACCAAACAAGGTGAAGTGTACAGTAAGGTTATCACATTTCTTAATATTTCAATCTTTGCTCACTGGTCAATAAAGTCAGAATTCAGAATTTTGCAAATCTACTTAGAAGTGATGGAAACTATTAAAAGAGGCAGTCCATGATTGATAATATATAACTTTCATCATCTCTCATGATTGAATCAATTACTTAAGCAAATATTTATTGAGTGTATACCATGCCCTGGACACCCTCTAAAGCTAAAGTTGTGGTGGTGAAGGAATGAGACGACAGAATGGCCAACTCCCTGCTGCCCACATTCTAGTACAAAAGATGGACAAGAAACAAAGGGAGAAAAATGTCTGCTATGACGCATGATGATAGGGACTCCATATTGCAAAACAAAGAAGAGGACTCAGAGATGTCCCTGGGAAAGGTGTAAGGGGAGACGGGTACTGAAAGACAGAGACTGAAAGGAGGCAGTGAATGATGGAGAGGTCTGTGGAGCAGGCATTCCAGACAGAGACAGCAACTGGAACTAAGGGCTGAGCCGTGCTAGTGTGGTTGACGTGCAGCATGGAAGCCACTCTGGGAGGAGCCCTGTGAGAACAGGAAAGCAGGAGTCAGGGAAGCTAGAGAGGTAACTGAGCAGAGAAAGGTTCCAGAGTACATAGGATCCTTTAGCTAGATCACTGTGAAGTCTCTAGCCCATACTTGGGGTGAGCTGGGAGGCCATTGGAGGATTTGAATAGAACAAAAGCATTAGCTAAATCACATTTTTAAAGGATCTCTCTAGTTACTGGGAATATTTGGGGTTGGGAGAGGCAAGGGAAGAATGAGATAGACCAGAGAGAAAAGGAGTACAATAACCCAGGCAAGTGATTACAGTAATGAGGACCAGAGTGGAAGTAGAAGTGGTGAAATGGGGCCACATTAAGGACATATTTTAATGTAGTGCTAACAGGAAGTGTCAGCTGTGAAAGAAAGATTATGGGTAGCACTAAACTTCTTGGCCTAAGCAACTGGAAGGATGAAGGTGCTATTTACAAAGCCAGAGATGAATGAGAGAGGACAGTATTTATGTCAGAGAGGTCAAGAGGTCAATTAGAAAAAGACTAAGTTGATGTCAAGTATGCAGTTTAACTACTTAGCTCAGGAGGAAGATGTGGGCTAGAAATATATGGTTGGGGGGGCTGGCACCATGGCATAGTAGGTTAATCTTCTGCCTGCGGTACCGGCATCCCATATGGGCACTGGTTCTAGTCCCAGCTGCCCCGCTTCCTGTCCAGCTCTCTGCTGTGGCCTGGAAAGCAGTGGAGGATGGCCCAAGTGCTTGGGCCCCTGCACCCGCATGGGAGACTGGGAAGAAGCACCTGGTTCCTGGCTTCTGATCGGCACAGCTCCAGCCATTGCAGCCATCTGGAGAGTGAACCAACAGAAAAAAGACCTCTCTCTCTATCTCTTCCTCTCACTGTCTGTAACTTTACCTCTCAAATAAATAAATAAAATCTTAAAAAAAAAAGAAATACGTGGTTGGGAGCTGTTGGTATAGAGATGGAATTCAAAGTGCCTGGAGGTCACCAAGGACATCGGTACAGATCCAGAGAAGAGCCCTAGGGACAGGCAATAAGATTAGGTGTAAAAAGCCTTCAAGTGAGTTACTTAGCCAGCCTCTAAGGAGATATTTTCTGATGGTAGATGGTAGAAAATATTCTGAAATCCCTTGTCTGGAAAACACATACCAATGCTTGATAACAGATGGAGTAGTCAATTCTAGAGAACAAGAATTACATCACTTCAGACAGTAGTTGTTCCATGAGGTTTTTATGTAAAGAATTAATTAGAGTCTCTTTGGACAAAGAAAGGATGCTATGCACTAATAATATAGAATCTGCATTGTGTGCTGACATTTCAAAGAAAGAACTTTGTGTTGGGTTGTTGAAAACACTTGACCTCTGAGTAATCCGAAATGAACTGAAAAATGGGACAAAGAGCAAAACTTTGTTTCTGGAGTGGCTTAAAGACAGTTTACCAGACAAAGAAATAAGCAGCAGTAATAATTACCAAGCACATCTGGAGTGCTTGCCAGGTCCTGTGAATTAGGGATTCTCATAATGTCCATTTTTCTGAAGAGGAAGCCCAGACTTCAAAAGGTAGTCAGCAGCTTGCCCAAGGCCGAGTAACTAGGAAGCAGCAAAGCCAGGGTTTGAACACAAGTCTAGCTGATTCCAACATCTGGCATTTTCTTTATTCTCTTAAATAAGAATTGAGTCATTCATGTTGTCTAACAGTTGAGTTTTCATAATAACAGTAGCTAATTGTTGTCATAATGGTTACTGGATGGTTGACATATAACTCTTCTTGCTTCTATATTTTCCCACGTTTCTATAACAATTACACATTAATTACTTTAATAACAGAAACAGACTTACTCCTATTAAAGATAAAAATAGATTAGAAAATAAGTTCTATGGGAACATTGTTCTCAGTGTTGTTTAAAAACAAGTAGTGTTCAACACATGTTTTTAAATTTTTCTTTAATGCACAGCATTTTCTTCTTTTATTACACTATTTCTAACTTAAAAGAATTTCCAGGGCCAGTGCTGTGGTGTAGCGGGAAAAGCCGCCACCTGCAGTGCCGGCATCACATATGGGCGCCAGTTCAAGAGCTGGCTGCTCCATTTTCAATCCAGCTCTATGCTATGGCTTGGGAAGACAGTAGAAGATGGCCCAAGGCCTTGGTTCCCTGTACCCGTGTGGGAGACCCGGAAGAAGCTCCTGTCTCCTGGCTTCAGATCAGCACAGCTCCAGCAGTCACAGCCACTTGGGGGAGTGAACCAACGGATGGAAGACCTCTCTCTCTCTCTCTGCCTCTCCTTCTCTCTGTGTAACTCTCACTTTCAAATAAATAAATCTTTAAAAAATTTTCCTAAAATTCTATTGACTTTTCAAAACTATCACTTTGATAGTGTTTTGGATTTTACAGTGTGTTTTCACATGTACTCTGTATACAGAATTCTCATGTATTCTGTATAACTTTTTGAGCTGAACTTTTCTTGTTCAGAAATGAGAAAACAAGTGCTAAGTGTCCCGATAGTTCTTTCCTATGATTTCTAGTCCAGTGCAATTTTAAAACCTGCTTTAATTTTAAATTAAACAGAATTACAGAAATACAGAATTCCACTGAATGGACGAATCAGAGTTCAGACTATCTTAGCATACTACGCCCTCTGGTGGACGTGCCATTAGCATTGTGACTAATTTTATTGGGTATGGTTTTCAAAAATAGAATATTTCAAAAATAAGTCTTTTGTAGATAAATTAATAAAAATCATTCTTGGGATTTTTGAATCTGTTATTGTTTCTCATGAACTTAATTTCCACAACATCAGTAAAATCATTTAGCTTCTATAAATCATACAAAAACAACGTGGGGGAATATTGGTTTCTTCCTTAGGCGGAAGATGGCAACCTAATTGTGGAAGGAATGCTGGACATTTTCTGGGGAGTAAAACGACCTATACAGCTGAAAATACAAGATGAGAACCAAATCTCTCCTTTCACTACGTTGAAGTCTCCAGAAACCTTTTCCACCAAAGGGTAAGCCATCTTTCATGCTTTTAGTTCCTTAGATGATATGTATATTTACATTCGTTGTATGCACTCTGAAAGAGGGAGCTGATGCTTGTTGGTAAATGCTTACACAGTGGATTTGAATCCCCTGTGAAGTAGGAGTTTGTAAGTCAGGACTCTGCAAAGTTATGTAATTTGTGCAAGCTCCCCGCTAAGGTTGGCAGAAGTTAGAACCTTAGTTCTATGGGCAACGGAATCTGAGCTCTGAATCCCTTTACAGTATTGCTTCTCTCCTGAGAGTCTAGGTTCTTTCATTGGGAAAAAAAGTATTGTAACCCAGATTTGTTTATCCCTATCCTAGTCTCCTAAACATGGGGCAGAATTTAGACATCTCTCACTGGAGCAAGGGACTCTTCCTGATTTCTAATAAAGACTTAATCATGCCAGACCTGATTGTTCTGATCCTGCTCAACAGAGCACAGCAAAGTGCATTAGAAGTTAAATAAATACGCAAAACAATTTCCTGTATGGCTTACCTTGAATATCCAAGTTGAGCTGTTTTCTTCATTATTCCTTCCACTTATCAAAAAAATTAATTAATAAGTATTCCCGACAGGAATATACCTACAAAATTCCCTCCTACCTCTGCTTCTCCCTTCCTTCCTTCCTTCTATTTTTTTTAATCCTTGACTTCCAGCTCTTCTCCCATCTCTACATGAACACTGAGCTACGAGCCTTCTCTTCACAGCATTCTGTCCTCCCATTCATTGTTAGGGTGAGTCAGGTTCTCTCAGAGGGGAGGACAGGAAAAGGGCTGCCAGGACAATTTGCACAATGTGGTCTTTGGCCACAATAAGAACAAACAGCTGTCACCTCAAGGGAAGTCTGCTTTTCATTTGGAGAAAACATTTAAGCCCCACAATGACTGTTGGCTTGCCAATGTTTCCAAACATTATGCCCCAGCATTAAGAACATTTTTAATTTCCTACACATATTGTTCAGGTTCTCATTCTCCTGAATCTCTGAGCAGGAGACTACCAGCTTCGAGACACCTATTTGCCATCCTTTAAGACTCAGGTCAGGTGACATTTTTCAGAGAGCCTTTTCTGGCCCTTCAGTGTGTAGTGGGTACATTGACACTTATCTACATCACTCTCAGAGCATACAGCTTCCTGCATTTTTATGAACTGATTTCCCCCTCTGTAGTGTGAGCTTCAGGATGGGAGAGAAGAAGCTTTGTTCATACCCAGTGTACCTGGCACAAAACAGGGGCTCAAAGCGGAGTATCAAGGGGAGTCCCCAGAAACTTGTGGTTCAATTACCTCTGCTTTGTTGGAAGGATTCTGTCTCTGCATCTACCCCTTCCCACCAGCCTCCTGACCATGCTGAAGATGGCCAATGGTATGGAATCCAGACGTTAGGAAACAACGGAGGACCAGTCTTAGGTAGCCTGATGTTGTCACCTGCATCCCACCCCTTGAGGTACTGGACAACTGATAGGACTGATGAGTCTACATGAGAAGCATCACTTTTTTCAAAGAAGAAATTGCCCTGGGTCCAACATTCAGAAACCTGTACAACATAACGAATTCACAGAATTAGCTATCACACTTCATATTACCTCAGAACGCAAGGCCCACTTCTCTGAGCAGTCAGTTTCTTTTGTTGCATTTAATTTTTTTGATTCATGAAAACTTAATAAGTATGCAGTTTTAAAGGAAGATGTAAGGGAGAGGAAGTAAGGTACATGTAACAATACATTCAGCCATCATGATTTTGATGGTTTTCAGTTTCACGATTGTTCTAGCAGTCTTGAATTTTTGTATGAGTTTCAAGACCACAGGTGGACAAAGTCCTGTCTGACAGCTCTCCCTATAGTGCAGCCAATGCTGCAGTCCCATCCTTGGGATGCACCTTCTCTAGGACCCGTTTACACTTGCATCATTTACCAGATGAAACTGGGAAGCAAAAAGAAGTTATTTCCTAGAATTTAAATCTGCAAAAGAATTACCTAGAAAACCATGTCAGCCTGCTTTTTATAATAGTAGGTAGCTTTGCACAATACTTGAAACATGTACTTGCAATGCATTTGAACTTTCTGGAGAGCAAGAATTGGCAGAGAAAGATCCTCCTCCTTATACACTTATAGACACACACACATGCACACACACACACACACACTCACACACACAAGCAAGCAAAATTTGATTTGATTATGATTAACTACTCTGATAGCCAGCTGAACACTCAGGTAGGAAGGCATATTTGGAATGGCTTTGCTCTGGCCTCTGGTTCTCTGATGGGGTACATAGCCACATCAAGTATTATTTTTTGTTTCAGTTCAATCTTATACATTCTCACTCTGGTGGCCACCCTTAAGGTGGTATTTGCCTAAATTCTGGGCCCCAATTAAATTGTGTAAATAAATTTATTATTTCTTCACTCTAATCCTTCTCCCATGTTCCTTTTCCCACACGTGGCATCTACAGGCAGAACCTGTACCTGTGCTGACATGGGATCACAGCTGTGGTACTTCCAGCAGCTGAACCCTGTGTATACACCTGCAGGAAGGGCTGTAATCTGGCTTATTTCAGTTCACCTCTGAGAATATCACCAATCTTTCCATGCTGGATTTTTTTAATGATGTTTGACATGAGTCACAGCTGAATGGGAGTGATGGAGGCTTCAAAGAATTGAGTTTGTTTGAGCTCTGACCACTTGTGATCCTTTATGGAAATGATTCTATGGGTAGAACTTTGATCTCCCATATCTAGGCCAAGTGTTTTCCTTTGGAAATTTTTCATTAAAAAAGAAAAGAGCAATCTTTTTGAGATGATTTTTGCTGGCACTATTTTTCATTGCTGTTTCTAATATCTTTCCAACATCTGTTTTGCCTTATTTTGGACAAGTCATAGTAGTGTGACATAAAGAGCAGAACTAGGCAGGTGTACATTTGAATGACATCAATAGTGCTGGAGTTCCCTTACAATACAGGTAAGGAAGTGACCACATTCTATTTGTCTATCCAATTTCCACCTCCTTTTTGTTTTGAAATTTGTTAGAAAATTTCCCCCACAGTTTAAATTTGCAAGTCACCGTGAAACCCGGTCAGAGACAAATAAACAACCCCCCAGTTTGGGCAAGTTAAACTATTTCATGTTACATAAATTTCTAAGCTGTTTTCTCTTGAAAACTCTGGAAAACCACCCTCCCACCCAGCATGTCCATCACTGGATATGGTGACTCTTCACAGGACACAATCCAGAGGGGGATACTGATGCTTTCTGCTATAGATAGTAAGGAGAGGAAAGGCGGCTAAACACTGGATGCATCCAGTCATGCTTAGGCACCTATGTTTGTGTGGTGTCACTAAGCTTAAGAACGTGAGACCCTGGCAGCCACCGAGTCTGCCAGGTCACCAGCCATCTGGGTGGCACATCACTGCTCTGCATACCTGGGGAGTCTCACCTCCTCCACCCATTGGAAATAGTGCCAGATTGCTTTGCATTTTTAATTCCTGCTTTTCATAGATATTCTCTCTTTTCCATTATTAATTCTCCTTCAATGTTAAGTATATCTGCCCCCTTTTGATTATTAATCTGTCATAGATTGGAGGGAAATAGGTCATTTTATTTGCCATAAGCGTAATTAGATTCTAGGGCAGGCATTTGGTGCAGCAGTTAATAGGAGGTTAGAAAAACCCACAACCCTTATTGAAGGGCCCGGATTCAAGTCCAGTTTCCCATCCACATGCCAACTCCCTGTTAAGGAGCATTCTGGGAGCAGCAGGTGCTGGCTCAGGTACTGGAGTTGCTGCTACTCTCTTAGGAGACCCAGATTGTGTTCCCATTTCCTGGCTTCAGCATGGCCCAGTCCCTTTTGTTGCAGGCATTTGAGGAGTAGACCAGTAAATGGAAGATCTCTCTCTCTCTCTCTCTCTCTCTCGTTCAAATAAATGAATAAATACTTCAAAAATTTAATTAGAATCTGAATCAGTACTTGAGTATTTCTTCTTTGGGTGTGTTACCTATATTTTTTGGGACATCTTTTTTTTTTTTTTTTGGTTGTTTGCTTTTTAAAGATCTCATTTATTTATTTGGAAGGCAGAGTGACAGAGGGGAGAGGATGAGAGAGAGAGAGAGAGAGAGAGAGATCTTCCATCTACTGGTTCACTCCCCAAATGGTTGTAACAACCAGAGCTGGGCCAGGCCAAAGCCAGGAAAGACTGAAACTATCCCAGTCTCTAGGGCCATCTTCTGCTGCTTTTGCAGCACATTAGCAGGGAGCTGGATCAGAAGTGGAGTAGCTGGGACTTGAATCAAAGCTCACATAGATGCCAGAATTTGCAGGTGGTAGCTTCACTCTCTGTGGCACAATGCGAGTTTTGACTCCTTATAATCTAACAGTAGAGGGCGCTGGAAAACTAATTACCAAATATATTAGGATTACTCTACTTCATAAGACTATTATGCCAATCAAATGATGCAATAGTTGTAAAAAGACTTCAAAAGAATTCAAAGTCAAGGGAAAATTTTTTCACATTAATTATTAATATTAAATATTATTTTTTGGTTGCCACTATGACAACTGGATAGAATAGATGACACAAATCATCTATGGATAATGCATTTCATTACATGGAAATAGATATTGTGGAAAAAGCCCTTAGTGGGACTAAGACTGGCTCCATACATAAGAATATCCATTTTCTTAGAGAGATTAAGAATGCCTTGGGCCCCTAAAAGTTATTGGCCTATCACAAAATAGATACAGCTGGTCAATATCATGAAGATGGTGACATTGAAGATGAGGATGATTCTTAAGATTCATAACACATATTGAGTGCTTAGTATGCGCAGGGCATGATTTCAAGAATTTTACACAAATTAACTTATTTAATATTCATATCCTACATGCTATTACATCATATCTACGTTACAGATGAGAACATTGAGGCACAGAGAGGATAAGCAGCTGCCCAAGGCCAGCAAAATAAAGATAAGTTTTGGCAAAATAAAGATGAGTGTTGGCAAAATAAAGATGGGTGTTGACCTGATGTAAAAAACATAAGCCGCGGTCAGGTCCTATTGGTTCCGAGCACTAGAATACACTGAACATTGCTACTACCCTATATGAAATTATAATTCTTCAGAAAAGGAGTTTCTCATGCTTCCCCCTTTCTAAACTGCTCTTCTCCATAGTAGTCAATGGCCTTCAAGACAAACAAAATATTTTATTCTCCCAGAGCCACTCCCCCCAATAGTACTTTGAATACAATGGATACTCAATGTGCATTAGTAGGATGAACACTTTTATATCTAAATTCACCCAAGAATCTCATGAGATATCTGTATAACTATGAATTCTGTTGCTTTCTCCTAATTCCATTTGCATGTAGTTTTTGCAGATTCTATCTAGCCTTGTGCTGAGATGTATAACTGAATTATTGCTCTAAAACATTCAAGATATAATCCCAAAAAGTACAGGAAGTATTTAAAACGCATGTTGGTAACTCTGGGATGAATATGATTTTAATAATATCATAAAATTGTTATAACTTTGGTGATTTATCCACCTACAGAGGTCCATAAGTATTATATTGATATTATAAATCTGAAAGCCATTGTGAACCTCAATAAGAATGGAATTGATGTTATTTACAAGATTGATTACTTTGCAGGAGAATGACTCGCTGGGGAGAATTTGATGATCTTTATCATATTAGCGAGCTGGACAAGACCCAGATTCCAGCATCTGAAGCAAGGAATTCTCAGGAAGGTCAGTATTAAGGGAAGATTTATTTTTTTAATCAATGTAAGGATTTAGTGCTGAAATCTAGCATTTTATACTCTACTACTCAATAAGCTTTTGTTTTATACTTTAAAAACATCTTCTAGATGCATAGTAACTTAAGTCTCTACCATGCTCCTATGATATTTAAGAAAGTTATCTTCTTATGTAAAATTATGATTTTTTTAAAACTTATATGAAGCCACTTAGGTTTGATTGACTAGGGAGCACTAATGGTTTGAATGTACTCTGTATTCATAACATTATTCAATATTTTCCCCAAGGATTAGAATCATGTATTGTTCCAAGTAGTTTTATATGTTAGACCAACCCCTTCAGACCTAGTCCAACATCCTTTTAAAAGGTGAAGCTTTAATTAGTTAATAAATTTATATATAGCATCATTCTCAGAAACAGTAGATATGCTGATATCACTTCTATATTTAATGGAATTATTTCAAAGATTTATTATAAAAAGAGAGATCTAATTATCAGATGAGTTCATATCAAACTTGGCAAATCCATGAATAATCCCAGCTCCTGGCACATGTCACATTAGTAGCTGTAATAATAATGAAGAGGATGTGAGAGTAATAATGATCTTCAGAGCTATAATTTACTGAGACTCTGCCAAGTATCGTGCATGATATTTTTTTTTTTCATATATTGCTTCATGCAGTTCTCACACAGAGACATTCAAGGAGGAGCTGATGACTGAGGATGGAGGCTGGGGGTGACAGAGTTCAGTTACCTGAGCTGAGGCTATGATATTTCCACACCAGGTCCAGACTGAACAGTGATTTCTTGCCGGCATTAACTTCATGAGCCTACCAGTAACCAATATCTTCTAATGTGTAGCTTTTTAATATTTCCAAACCATTTTCAATTCTATCTCCTCCTTTCTCCTCTGTCATCTCCCTAAGAATTCAGATCCTACTTTTAAAAATGAGATTCCTTATAGTACTCCTCTACCTTTGTCTTATAGGACCTTGAAATTTTGTTATATTAAAACATGAGTTCTTCCAATTATCCCTTTGAAAATATCCACTAAACTCAGGATAATTCCAAAAGCTTGGCAACAAAGATGCCATAAAACCTGTTTAATTGTTTTTAAGCACCAGAACTAAACAAAGATGAAATATCTCATGTTTATTTGATGCTTATTATTCTAATTACAAAAATATTATTTAAAATCCCAAGGTAAAATAGAACACTGTTGCCACCAGATGGCCCTATTCTTACATGAGAACATATTTAGTTGAGGAAATTGGAATAAATGCTATTCTCAAGGTGCAAACAGAAATGGAAGCAGAAGGCAAGCTTGAATCTTGATAAGCTTGAATCTTGGGCTACATTGTAGCTAACCTAGATTCAGCTTAAACTCACTCTCCCCACCCAGTCCAATGCTATACTATAAGTTTAAATTCTAACCTAAAAGAAGTGGTAATAATTATAAAAAATGGAATAACAGCCAAATTTTGAGTAGGAGATTATGAATTCTTTAATATATATGACTAAATGAAAAGAAATTATAAGATAGTGTACAATTATGGAGAACAGTCATTTGTATCACACTTCTGGAATGTTCTTGAAAGTATATTATGTGATATCTCTGTGGTTTATTACAAGTAGGCCCTAGTCCAAATCATCCTACTACTTTCACTTTTGTAAAAATCAGAAATAATATCTTTCAAATCTCTATATACTGTACAAATGATTCTCAAGGATCTTTCCATAGTTTTTCAGGGAAATTAAGGCCCAAATGGCCATCTTTTTAGGAAAAGTCCAATGAATCTGGAACCAAAGTAAAAATTGGCATCCAGACCTGTTCCTATCACCTATAAGTGCTACTTCAACTCCCTGTACTTTATCTTAGGTGGAAGAGATAGACTTCCTAGAGCATCAAGTTTCTTCTCCTAGCTCTAACATTCAGAAATCCATATAATGCACCACCCCCACATAGATTAAGATGGAAATAACACTTAAACCCCAAATACATGGCCATTTTCTATGAGATCCAAGTCACCAGCAACATTTTCTGTCTGAGTCAGTCCCAGACAATATTAAATATAGAATATGTAGCTAAGCAGTGGACTATAATGCTTTTAAACATCAAGGAAATAGCAGCATTCCTAAAATTAATAAAAACATATATGAATCCGCCCCAGGATGCAAGGAGATAGGCAGCTAAATGACATGGGCTTTTAATCTTTATTCTTTCCAGACTATTTGTCTTACCACAGCAGCACTCTGAAACCACGTGCAGATGAAGAGCCACAGTCCTCACTGCTTTACAGAACCATGAGTGAAGCAACCCTGGTGAGGAAAAGGATGAAGCCGCTAACGATGGACCGAAAAGACAGACAGAACCATAGGGCCTCTATTAACGGACATTTCTATAACCACGAAGTGAGTTGTTAAAGTTCCACTTATTTGAATTCCATCAATGTGATGTAGAATAATGTTATCTAGTGAGCTAACAATACCACTCAAATCAACTTGCAATTAAAATGGTAATAATAACAACAGTATTTTGTCTCAGATTTATTGAGCATTCCCTACTGTTAGGCATTAAATCAGTTTAAATAGATTTTGAGTGAATTATCTCATTAATCACTGAAACAATCCTAGGAAGTAGGTACCATTAGTTTCTCTACTTTACAACGAGTTAATGAGGTTCATGTAGCTTTGGCAATTTGTCTTAGATCACACTGCTTTTAAGAATAAATAAATTTGAACCCAGTCCTATCTGACTCCAGAATCCACGCTCTTCACCAATGTGATGGGTGGATTCCTTCCAAGTGGCAGGCACTGGCCAAGCGTTGGAAATATATAGATTTTTCAATTGATGCCTCTGCCAGCATGAAGCTCAGGGCTTAGACAGGAAAAGCAACATACCAACAAATAATGTCAGATAATATAAATAATAGATGTGAGTTTGAAGGACTTTTCAACAGTAATATTTAAACAAAAAGAAAAAATCATCCAGAAACCTATTAATTCCAGTAAATTGAACATCTCATTTTGTATATTGCCTTCCAGGTCTTATACATATACACTTACTTTTTCTACAAGTATAGTTGAAGTTTCGATACAATTTGCATTCTGATTTTTCAACAATGTGTGTTAAATTTATATGTGCCTTTCCATGGTTCTTGTAAGATACTTCTGTTTGCTGAAGGAGGCCAATATCATTCTTTTTCCAGAACTAAAGTATTTTTCATGCCATGCACTTTAGCCATCCTTCAGCCATTCATTTAACAAATACTTAGAGAGCATTTATACTATACCAGGCACCCTCTGAGCCTTTTAATAGTAATTCATTTCTCTGTAGGCCTGTTCCTGTAGGGTTTTCTACATTATTCCTTCTTTCACCCTAGAGAGAATATGGGTAGTGTACCTTTGAGGTTTGGTCAGAAGAAACTCCCTTCTCAATTCTTCATTCAAGTTGGACATGATTTTCTGGTTCAAGAATTTTCCTCTTGGCTATAAAGTAGCATTCACTGTACTCACAGATATGCAACTATCAATTGTCCTGGTTTCTTCCTTTTCTCAGAAATTGTGTTGTATAGCGTCATTTATGGGGTGATTTGTATCAAACAAGGAAAGCCACACTGCTCCAGATGAGTGGCTTCTAGATGCGTCACTTTTGCTGAGAATAAAATTGGCACTAAGTTGGCATCACAGTGTGGTGGTTAAATGCCTGGGTCCTGGAGCTTGACAACCTGATTTCCAATTCTTGCTGAGCAAAGTTAAACATTTACTCAGTCTCTTGCTTTTAGTTATTTTATCCTTCCTACTTTACAAGGTTATTGATGGGATGAAATGAAATGAAATGAAATGGATTAAGCTCTGAGCACATGAAACCTCTTGATACTGCCACTATTGTGAGCCACAGACAATATCCATATTAAAGTCTTAGATTGTGATATTGGAGATAAGTTATGGTGACTATGACTCGACAAGTATATATTTCTATCCATTCAGTAATAAATGATTTTGTAGCAAGGTTCTAGCATGTGTTTTGGGCAATATAATTAATATAAAGATTGTTGTTTTAAAATAAAGTCCTCATCAACATGATTTCAAATTCATTTTATGTTGGCATTACTCACTTATTTGTAAATGAAGTCATTGAAGTCTTGCGATGTTAAATGAGCTGGCAAAGTTGGGGTGAGTAGACTGTGGAGTGCCCTAATCTAGTGCTATTGCCATGCTCCGTGACACTTCACATAAACAACATAAACCTGCAAATCAAACATACAGGAGCCCTGAGTTACTGTGGGACGAACAGGGCTCCATAGATCTGATAAGCAGTGCTCCTAAGGGTCACAGAGTGCCTTATTCAGGCCTTAAAATGAACACAGAAATTAATTTTTCTCATACGTAAGGTTTTCCCAGACATTCTCCTCATATTGTCTCAAAAAACTTACCTACATATGCAGATTTTTTACTCACACAAATGCCGTGGTTACATATATTCTTTGACAATTATTCATATTTACCAGGTTCTCAATATAGGATTTATCTAGCACTCCAAAAGGCCGCCCCAAAACCCACCCACTTCCACATCTGCTGAACTTACCCTATTTTTACAGAGGCTTGGAACATTTCAAAATTGGAAATAAAGACTGTGGAAATAAATCTTGACTTAATATCCTTTTCTAACTTTTAAATACATCTCATGCCATGTGCTCTTCCTTTCTGCTATCTGATAAGTAAAACTTATTCTTTTTCTATTCTCTGTTACACATGGAATTGTATCTCCTACAAGATAACTGTCACAAGTTATATTCACACCAGCAATTACCTACTTGTGAGACCCCACTCACTATTTTTCTTTTGTAAAATTTGAACATATTTCATTTGTATCACAGAATTTAAAATCAATCTGGTCTACTTATGGTTATGAATTCAGTTATTTAATATTTATAAGGGGTTTAGAATAACTCTTACTACATAGTGAAAACTATAGTAAGTAACTAATTATATGAAAATCCTATGGAATCCGTGGAATGCTATAGCTTTCAAGAATTATGAATTCTGCCTCTGCTCAGCAACCAACTTACATACTGACAGCAAACAGATAGTGTGGCCCTACATAGGCACAATCACATCTTAATTCCTTTCATAGACTTGTAACCAAGAAACATATACAAAATAGGGAAATCCTAGCTGAGTAAGTATTACTGTCCAGCATTTCTCCAAGTGTGTTCCAATGACTACATACTATTTGTTAAACTCTGTATTTAGCATAGGGCTAATCTTATTTTATAAAGTTAATTGAAAATAGATCTTAGTAAAAAGTAAGAATGGGAATAGGAGAGGGAGGAGGAGGAAGGGTGGGAGTGCAGATGGGAGGGAAGGTGGAGTCGGAAGAATCACTGTGTTCCTAAATTTGTATATATAAAGTGCATGAAGTTGGTATACTATTCAACAACAAGAAGAAAAGCAAAAACAAACACTGGGATTTTGAAATGGAATACCTTGAGTTTTTTTTTTTTCCCCAATGAGAAGACCAGTTTTAAAATTTCGACAACTTTTAATTGGATACAATTTTAAGGACTTACATGACATTTTTTTTCCCTAGACATCAATTTTCACTCCAACCTTTGGATCAGAAACTAAGGTCAGAATAAACAGTAACATGAGAACTGAGGAAGTCATAAAGCAACTGCTCCAAAAATTTAAGGTAATTTTTTTCACTAAAGTAAACTATAAATATCTTGCCCATAATGTAACTGTAGATGTGAATGCAGTTGTCTTAAAAGACCAAAGAACATGGAGATCTAAGTTGGATGTTTTCTTCTGAAGGATTCCTTCTTGTTTATGATGCATTTTAGTAACTGTGCCCTGAGTAATTACATTATGCACAGGGAAGCAGTGGTGTTTTTGTCTGAAAATAAAAAACAATGGAAGAACCAAATTCAGATTTGGGGTCTGGTTGGCTTAGACAACATCATATGATGACGAAGGATCACATGTTGGTTCATCTTCTTCCATTGACAGATTGAAAATAGTCCCCAGGATTTTGCTCTCTACATTATTTTTGCCACAGGAGGTAAGAAAGCCTGGTCACTCTTTGTAACTGACTCGAGTAATTCACAGTTTTCTGACCATGGGGAAGCAAAAGAGCTGTCTACTGTTGGGGGAAAGGGAAGAAGATAAGGAGTACAAGAGGGAGGGGGGCTTTCTAGTATTATTTATATTCCATCACTTCAGAGAAAGATAACCCAAGAATAAGGTAGCCCTACTACAAGGTTGCAGTCCTTATAACACACAAGAGATTGTTGGTTGACTAGACAATAAATTCCCTGACTAGAGGTCAGAACCCTCAGAAGTTCCCTAAAGGGCATCCAGGAATTGTTAAGCATTGATATATGTTGTTCACTTGTGTACTTGTCCTTGTATTTGTCTAAAAAAAAAAAAAAAAAAACCTGTTTTTTTGTATTTGTTTGAAAGGCAAAGAAACAAACACTCAGATCTCCCAATTACTAGTTTATTCCTCCAAATTCCTAAACAGCCAAGGTGGGCTGGGCTGGGCTGAAGCCAGGAGGCATATACGGGCACTGTGTCTTGTTTATGCTTCGTTTCTACAAAAAAAGGAAATCCCAGATATGAAGCTACTTTGACAGAAAACTACAGGCACTTTTGTAGTGGTTATATTTATATTAAAACTTTGGAAAATTTGAAGTTCTGGGAATATACCAAGTTGGATGATAATTACTTTCTCTACCTCCCTCTCATAACTAAATAGATGAAGCATATAGATGAATGAAATAATTAAAATACTGGCCTCCATTCTCAAAAACATTCTGTATAGATACACATATGTATGTAGGTAGGTAGGTAGGTATTAAAGATGATCCAAGAATTGGATATGGAGTAAGAGAGAGAAGAAAAATTGAGAATAATTACAAGGTTTTGCACCTGAACAACTAGGAAGATAAAATAATATTAACTGAACTTAGAAGGAATCAAAAAGTATTTGTTGTATAAATGAATAAATGAAAAATTATGAGGAATTATTGAATCCTTTTACTTTATAAAAGGCACAAACAGGACTGGAGATGTGTCAGAAAGCCAAGCTTGAATTCTTTGAGATATTAAGGCAAAATCCCAAGTATAGTAAGAGAAAGGAGTCCATTTTTAGTTCAGTTCAAAGTTTGCCCTTCCACTTACTCTTTTTTGAGTGAGTGATGCCTGTTGTATGTTCTTTTCAGTTTCTTTGTCTTTCTAGATGAGCTGAAAAGAGAAACTGAGTGGGAAAATCACCTTTCGTTGGGATAAACTCCTCAGTATGGTTTTCCCTCATTTTCATTCGCAGAGCAGAGACGGCTGAAGAAGACAGACATCCCACTGCTGCAGAGACTCCTACAGGGACCTTCCAAGACCAACGCTCGCATCTTCCTGATGGACAGAGATGCAGAAGAAATCAGCAGTGATGTATGGGCACCGCCACCCTGAGCCCGTTGTAGTTTCCCTCCTGCCTCGCACCTCTCACATAAATGCTCTGCCTTTTGTGTTGTGTTTTTCTTTCTCAGGTAGCTCAATACATTAACTTCCATTTTTCTCTCTTGGAATCCATTCTCCAAAGATTAAATGACGAAGAGAAAAGAGAGATTCAACAAACAATAAGGAAGTAAGTCAAGAGCAAGCATGCCGGATGCGTGGTTCTTTAATAGGTTCCTTATACAATTGCATCCGGCTTTTAATATTCTTTCTCTTCTTCTCATTTTCAGATTCAATACAGAAAAGGCCATTATACAACAATGTCTTCGAAGTAAACGGACAGTAAAAACAGAGACGACGGTGTAGTCATACAGGCCTCTATTGCTAAAACACTTCAACAAAGTTGGAGACGTGTCCCTCTCCCATGAATGCACAAGTACTGTACTTGCACTCATACAAATAGTCAAGGCCTTGAATCTGTAGAAAACTGAATTTGAAGGAGCTTGTTTCTCTTTGAAGTGATGAGGTTAACTAGGGTTCACTGTTGGACTAAAAGAAGATTGAATTTAGATTCACTAACTGAAATAGGTGGCGTGGATACTGTGCCTTCCAAATATATTTTATAGCAAAGCACGCAATGAACTCCAATTTAAATGACATCTTCAGGTATCATGCTGCACTTTAAACTTGTTTTCTCTTGAACTCTCAAGAGAACTGAAACATCAGCTGAATCAGACATGACTCAGAATAAAGACTGCCGGTTCTAGAAATAAACAAGAAGCAAGCTCTTTTCAGCACCAAGGACTCTCACAGTGACAGCGTTTCACAGATCTTTGAAAACCCCAGCATTTCCGTGACATCTCAGACTGTCTTGATAGGAGGAGGTAGCTCTGGCTATCAGTCACATCCGAGCCACCCTTGCTCTGGAAGGAAGATTATCAACTCTGCTGGGAAATTCAAATTACAATTTGCTCCAACCTGGGTCCTTCTTTTTCTTCTCTCTGTTCTAATGACAAAAGTTAGTTGAAGTCTTTTGTTTTCCTTAGTTGTCACACACACACATGCCAAAAAGACTTAATATGTTACACTAGCTAAAACAAGCCTTGATCCACACATTATGAATATCTATTGCTAAACTAATGTGATGGTTAAAGCAAAGCTTTTGTAGCTAGAACCAGGCAGAGGATCTGGAGCTCTGCTCGCTCAGAATCCCTCTTTCACAGGACAGTTGCCGGCGTACTTAGAAGTCTCCTAAACTTATTTGGGAAAAAAAAAAACACTGAAGAAATTATACTGAATTATTTATCAACTGAGTATTAAAACTGGATTTTTAGAGTACAGTATTCTGTGTTGTAAACTGCTTCCATTTGCACTGCTCATAAGCATTGCATTAAATTGTTTGATTATATTACATGTACTAAGTAACAAATTTATATACAATGAACCCAGCTGAAAGGTCAACTTTTTAATATTAAAAGGGGAAACAATTTTAGGGCAAAAGTATAAAGACTTTATCCTTTCATGTGGTTAAATAATAAAACAGTTTCATCTCACGAAAAGTAGGCAAAAGGAATAGTTAAAATTCTGTATGAGCAGACTAACGAAAAATGTGAAGTAATGGCAAGTAGCTGCTATAAACATGAGAGCAGTTTCCTCTTTAATATAACTGAAAGCCTGCAAAATGCATCGGAAAAACATCTGGCCTTGCACAGAAAGTAAAATGGTAGATGGTATGAAAAGAGAAATAACAGGAGGTGAAATGTGTATTGCTACCAAGTATATGGAGAAAAAAGTTGTATCTTCATAGTGCTCAACTGTAGCAGTCATTGTCCAGTCAGGAGAGAGAAATCAGGCAGTAACTGCAGTAGGAGTTTATAGCATAGAATTTCTAATATCTGAGAGGAGAGTAAAGCTAAAGACGGGAAGAGAACTCTAAAGGGTACCCTTTGGCTAAAAGAAAGATGCTTAAAAATAAGAAGCTTAGAATAAGGGGTTCATAATTCACTGGAGGGGCAGGCATGTGGCCTGGCAGTTAAGATAGCAGCTAAGAGCCCGCTTCACACTACCTGGTTTTGGCTTCTGACTCCAGTTTCCTGCTAATGCAGGCCTTGTGAGGCAGCAGTGACGGCTGAGGCAGTTGGGCCCCTTGTGGGAGACCAGGACTGCAACCACTGCAGATATTTGGGGAGTGAACTAGCAGATTGGAACTCTCTCTACCTCTCTCTGTGTGTGTTTACTTCTCAAATTAATGAATATTATAGAAAGAAGAATTCACTGGAGAAGATGTGCCTACAACCTCCTGGGTAGGTCACTGGGCTGCCTAGCACAAAGCGAGCCTCACTTGCTGGGTGAGCAGGAATGGCTCCTGTAGAGTAGATGACCTTTGCGTGGAAGGACTTGGGGCACAGAAGGATTGGGGTGCTGCTCCAGGCACTGCTGCCACAAAGAGCTGGAGGACCCATCTTTGCAGGAACATTGTAGAACCCTTGGTATGGTATGGGCTCGGGCAGCTTAGCATTCAGCAACTGGCTGGCTGGCTGGATTGCCAGCACCACAGGTTCCTCTCTGTGAGCCTCCGCCATGCTGAGATGTGGAGAGCAGAGACTGGGCTCAGTGCCAAGCCACCACTGGCCAGATCAAAAGCTACAGAAGCAGGCGGGCAAACGAATGCTGGAGAAAGCTGAACGCTACAGGCAACTGGCGCTGGAGACCCCACTCTGGGCAGAGCCTTGGAAGAAAAAAGCCTGCTCTCCAGGAGCCTGGCCTGCCGGCCCCTGGGAACCCAGAAAACCTTTTCCTCCTGCAGTACAGCGCCCTCTACCTCAAAGCGTGATGTCATGCAAGCAGCGAAGGAAAAGAGTGCCTGAATAGATTACCACAGAGCTCAGAGACAATAAAACAATAACCAGCATGTCAGCAAAACCCAAAGCAAAAAAAAAAAAAAAAAAAAAAAAAAAAAAAAAAAAATTGAAATATACTCTTGTCTATTAGCAAAGATTAAGAAATGATGTGAACCACTCATCGTATCACAAGGAGACGGACACAGTCCTGGTAGAAACTCGAATGCATATTATTTTTCTTGATGACAAGTTAATGCTATTTATCCTATGATCTTATCAAACGGAAATGACCAGTGGTACCAAGACATTCTACAAAGATATTTATTATACTGTTATTTATTGTGATGCAAAAAAGTAAAAGGTTTAAATGTTTGAATAATAGAAAAAAATTAAAAGTTTAGAGGGAAAGAAATTTTACCATAGAATGTTATGTAGCCATTATGTTTCTAAATAAACTTTAATTATAAGAGTAAATTATCTTTGATATCTAAATAAGAATATGTACACATTCCAAAATATTTATTTCCCTTAAGATATGTGTGTGTGTTTCTATGTGTATGTACATATTAATATTTGTGTGTGTACACGCTCACAAACCAAAACAACATGTTTAATGTAGTTATGTGGGGTTGCAGAATCAGGGTGATCCATGTTTATCTACTTTTTATTTATTAAATGTTCTGTAGTGAATGTATTATTTTTAAAATCAGAAAACAGAAAAATTGTCATTTAAAGGTTAGCAACAACGAAAAAGCAAGTACATGAAAGCGTAGAGTTCTACTAGGTGCAAAAATGTTCAAATCAGTTATTCAAATGCGACATTAACACTACGTCTGTGATAGTTTTAAAATACATCCATAAAGTCTTGGATACATTTCTTTCCAAGAAATAGAGCTGAATCCTCCTCATTTTGCAAATGGGCTGGACTTCATGGCTTCTTTCTGTTCTGTTTTTAATTAACAAAAAATAATTATTTGTATTTCTGGGGTGCAATGTCATAGTATGATACACACATGTGGTACACTGTGGAATTAACTCAGGCTCATTAACATAGCCATCACCACTCTCACTCATTATTCTCTAGGGCTGAAGTCACGGGAAATCCATACTTCAGACAATTAGTGACTTAACACAGAGACGAGGTCTGAAGGGACAATGTGGGGCTTTGGAGTACAGGTCACAGAAACCATGTTCTCTTGCGTCACTTGCTCTGGGGGAAGCCAGCCACCCTGGGCTGAACGGTCCTGGCGCACTGGGACCTGTTGCCACAGCCTGGCAAGAGGTCAAGGCCTTCTGTCCACAACTGTGTCAGCACACGCCTGGAAGTGGATCCTCCCTCCTCAGTCACGCCTCTAGAGGACGCCCACCCCTTCTCATAGCCCAACTGCAGCTTCCTGAGAAAGCCCAGTGAAGCTACTGCTAGATTCCTTATCCCCAGAAACTGTGGAGGATGAGCAGTGCTTCTTGCGGTATGCTGTTAGATGTCAGGTTAATGCACTATCTGGCTGTGGATAACTAACACAATTTCTGAGGCAAAAAAAAAGGGGGGGGGGTCTGTTTACTTCAATTATGTTTGCACAGTACAAGAATATAAATTTTCATCACAAAACCATTTTTCAGTGTTTTCAGTGGTCCAAATATTTCATTACCAGTTACTTGTTAGTTCAAATTATGTTCTGGGTAATATATTGCAGTTATTAACAGTGGAGAGCCTCTCACATGCATCTTTATATACTTCGATGCATCTTAGGTCTAGGATGTGTTCAGTCAAAAAGCAATTAGAATAAATTAGTGAATGAATGAGCAAGTGAGTGGATTATCTAAAATATTTTTATGAAACGTGTAACAGCTCCTTTTTCACAAATCTCATTCAGTAGCTCAAGAAATCTGGACTCTTTCCTCAAGGGAAGGTTTGACCTAGCAGCTAAGATACCCATTGGAAGGTCCACATCCCACAACAGAGAATTTGGGTTCAAGTCCTGGCACTATCCTAATTCCAGCTTCCTGCTAGTGTGCATACTGGGAAGCAGCAGGAGATGGCTCAAGTAATGGCAGTCCTGCCACCCACATGGTAGACCTGGATTGGTTCCTGGCTCCCAGCTTCAGCCTGGCCCAGCCTCAGCCACTGTGGGCGTTCAGGGAGTGAACCAACAGGTGGGAACTCTGTTTCTGTCTTTCTGCCTCTTAAATATATATATATATATATATATATTTCCTTTTCATATGGTTTTCTATAATATCAGTGTATACTTCATCATCTTGTGGCACTGTGAACCAAATATTCAGTTAGGCAGTGTTACTGTGGAATTTGGTTTGGAGATGTTTAGACTGGTTTCAAGAACTAAAAGAGAAAGAAGTTCATTTATAAGGCAGCCAATGAGGTGGGAAAGACAGCAAGTGTGATTATTAAGTTGAAGTATGTACATGGGAAAGAGAAATAGAACACAATTAGGCAGGCAAAATGCCTCAGTGACACCCATTTGTCTTATAAATTAATAACATCTTACACCTGTTCAATCGACCCATTTGGAAATATTAATATTTAACCCACAAAAGCAGTAATTTCATATAGTTCTGCCTAAACCCACTTACCCTTTGCCAGGCACTATTTTAAGTGTTTTACACTGAAACTCATGTTACGCACATTACAGTCCCATGAGGAAATTTCTCTTTCAACTGCATTTCATAAATGAGTGCAGTGAGCCACAGAGAAGTTCTGAGATTTGCTGAGGTTTTCAGCAGAAGAAGTAGGTGAGATTTGAACCACTATGGAATCTGGGCTCTCAACCACCCAGAACTCCACTCCCTCAATAACATTTCCTTTTATGTGTCCTCACTCGTGTAATGGGAAAAAAATAGAATAATTCCTCGCTATCCCCTGGAGATTGGTCTCAGGACTCCCTGCAGTTGCTCAAGTCCCTGACATAAAATGTCATATTTTTTTTTTTTTTTTTTTTTTTGACACGCAGATGGGACAGTGAGAGAGAGAGACAGAGAGAGAAAGGTCTTCCTTTGCCGTTGGTTCACCCTCCAATGGCCGCCGCTGCAGCCGGCGCACCGCGCTGATCCTGGCAGGAGCCAGGAGCCAGGTGCTTTTCCTGGTCTCCCATGGGGTGCAGGGCCCAAGCACCTGGGCCATCCTCCACTGCACTCCCTGGCCATAGCAGAGAGCTGGCCTGGAAGAGGGGCAACCGGGACAGAATCCGGTGCCCCAACCGGGACTAGAACCCGGTGTGCCGGCGCCGCAAGGTGGAGGATTAGCCTATTGAGCCACGGCGCCGGCTCAAAATGTCATATATTTTACAGATAGCCTACCCACATCCTCCTGCTTACTAACTTAAATCAGTTCTAGCTTAGTTATCATACCTAATAAAGTATAAATCCTATATCAGTGGTTGTTATACTGTTGCTTAGAAAACACTAACAAGAAAAATGTATGCATACTTTTTTTCTTAAATATGTTTGATCCTCTGTTGGTTGCTTTTGCAAACGTGGAACCTGCAGATACAGAGAGCTGGCTGTAACTCCTGTATTGGACACATGTGGGAGTTACATGAATAATACATGCAAAGGCTGGCACTTTTCACATGAGTGTATGATCAACATTAACTGTTATAATTAAACAGTGTGTCCCCAACCACCACAGCAGCCTTATCTTCCACTGCCTTACTACCCACAACTACTGAATTCTTGTCTTAAAAAGTAGCCAAATTGAGTCACTCAGTGTCTCCTGAGGCAGCTCACATTTCACCACAGTTCCACGGCTCCCACTTTCTAGTCCTTGGCCAAGGTCATTTTCTCCACGAACCTCCTGGGTCTCTGCCACAGTGTGTGATTCCAAACCCTTGCTGTGCACCACAATTTCTGTGACACTGGAAATTTGAAATTTGCCTTTTATTAGAATTTCTTACATGTTTATTCCCTGCAATTTCTAGCACAGCATATTGAATGCTTTAGGCGCTAAACAAATGTTTATTGTGTTTAATTTGAAATGCATATGAATAAGTTGAGGGAAAACAATTATTTAAAATAAAGAGCATTATAATACACATTAATTCTTTATTTTTAGCAAATCAAAATAAGACAAATAAAAGTGCTGATTTTTACTTTACCTATTACATCAAAAAATCTGGAGAAATTAAAAAAAATTCAAATTACAAATACAAGTTTGTTTATGTCACCTATGGCAGACCTTCCAGGGAAAATACTGATTATCTCTTAAAATTAATACACATATATTAAAGCTAAAATTAATACACATGTATTAAGAGTACTTGGCCCCAGTGTCAGCATTACATGTACAGGCTAAAAATGAAAGGCAAAACAATTACGCAGGTAACTTTGTTTTAAAAGACTTATTTACTTATATTTTGAAAGGGTTACTGAGAGAAAAGGAGAGACGGAGAGAGACAGATCTTCCATCCTCTGGTGCACTCCCCAAATGGTGGCAACAGCCAAGATTGGGCTAGAACAAAGTCAGGAGCCAGGAGCTTCAACCAGGTCTCCAGCATCAGAGGAGGCAGGTTAAACAGCCCCAAAGGTAAGTTATAACACATCTTGTTCCTCTTGGCAAGGATCAATTTCAGAAGTAGTATGGGCAGAAACTCCGACTCCAAGCGTGGAGTATTTCTCCCTATGGAAACCGAGCAGCCAGTTCCCAGCCAGCCATGGCAGCCCAGTACAGCCACCAGAGGCTTTTGCAAGCCCACGGTTCTCACCTTTCTGTTGCTACTCCTTAGAAGCAGAGAACCTGTAGGGAGATGGGGAGTGTGACTGGATTTTCCAGGGTGACAATGAGAGGATTTCTCTATTAAGTAGGAAAGGAGAAATTTAGTGTGAACTGGCTCCTGCTCTTGAGTAACATTGTGAGCAGTTGAAAAATTATCTTGTTGACTCTTCTTTTGAATATCAAACCTGTGTTTCATGGTTCATGAAAAATAAATGCAGATCTCCACAAAGATCCCACTTGGACATTTCCTGGGATCATTTAGGCCTCCAAGACAGACTGGCACTCTTCAATCAGTTTGGACCCCTAGGGGAAAAAAAAACAGCAAAGAAGCACATCTGTGAGGGAAAAAGAAAGAAAAAAAAACCTAGATAGCTATGATCCCCAGATAGAAAAGCTTTCAGACTTAGCTGTTATATGCCTGGGCTGGACTCTAATGGGCCATTTTCTCATGTGTTTGGGCTTTTCTGCAGGCCTACTCCCTTAGCTTAGAGATCCATTAACTGTAATTCCTCTCCCACTTTTAGAACCCCCAAATGGCAATGAACTAAAAATTTGCTTCCTTTTCCCAAAAATTTAGGTGTTTTTTCTTGCAGGCTACAGACAAGATCATTAGCATCAGCACCGCATTGAGTCTGAAAACTGCTCCAGGCTGACCCCACAAGTCACTCCACACTTTGCACACGAATTCAAAGGAGACAAATCTGCCGGCATCGAATCAGAGTGCCTTCTATGTGGGCAACATTGAATCAGAATGCCTTCTATGCGGGTTCTGGCATAGACCTCAATACTCTCAGTTCAGTAGTTTTCCTCGACTTTTACCTGTGTACTCTGTATTCAAGTAGAGATTACCTGTGGAAGCCCAGATGGATAGATAGAAGTGAGACCTTCTTTAGCAAAAGTGGGAATGGGACAGTTAGAGTACCATTCTAAGATGTGTATACACACACATACACACCATGGGGGATTATCCACTTGCTCTCCTAGGAGCTCCTAAGATCCTTCAGAAAATGGTTGGAAGTCTATTATTAATTTAGTCCTCCCCATTTGCAAATAATACCATACTAAACTATTCAGACAAATTAAAATCCATATAACCATTTTTAAGGAAACAATACTTCTGGAGTTTAGGATATCCTTGCTTCTTTGGTAATCTATGATGTTTAAATCAATGTCCATGGGAAATTTCCCCATAAGCTTAACCCAAGACCTTCAGTTTTATCCTAGTCTATTTTCTTATAATCAAAACATGGTGATGGAATTTCTTCTTTCTGCATATCAGTCCTTCCTGATTTCATGTATCCCACAGTTCCTTGATCAATTTCTGTTCATAAAATGTTTCTGGATATGGTAAGATAGGAGGAACACCTTTAAGAAAACTTCTTTAATAATGAAAAATGGCTGTGTAAAATTAGAACAGTGGTGATAGTTGGAGATAAGGTCCATGCAAGGTTTTCTTACATTAAAAAATGTAAGGGCTGGTGTTGTAATGTAGCGGGTAAGGCTGCAGCCTGCAATGCCAGCATCCCATATGGGTGCCAGTTCATGTCCACGTTACTTCACTTCCAATCCAACTCTCTGCTAATGGCTTGGTAAAGTAGTGGATAATGGCCCAAGGACCTAGACCCCTGTCATCCACCTAGGAGACCTATATGAGGCTCCCCACTCCTGCTTTTGGCCTGGCTCAGCACTGACCATTGTGGCCATCTGAGGAGTGGACTAGTGGATGGAAGATTTCTCTCTCTTTCTCTCTCTCTCTCTCTCTCTGTGTGTGTGTGTGTGTGTGTGTGTGTGTGTGTCTCCTCTCTCTGTAACTCAGACTTTCAAAATAAATGAATGAATTTTTGAAAAAAATGACTCATGATGAAATGAGGATGAAAAAAGAAGAAAGAAGAGATATCTTCCTTATGCTGAGTCTACTGAATCTAGATTTTCTACTCTTATTTCTTCTCCTGCTACGCCAGTGTTGGAAGACTGCCAACACGTCATCTATACCAGTTTATCCCTTGGGGATAGATATTAAGAATCTATCCCTAGTGACATGGCCTTCAATCTTTTCACATTCTGAATACTCTCCAAGCATAATAATTTACCAACAGACTTTTAAAATGTGTTGTCTGAACACCCTAAATAGCACTCTGTTCTAAAAATCAGTCCTTAAGGTATTCAGATCTTGCCAAAAAACTCATGAGAGCATTTCAGGCATGGAAATCCAAGACACTGTGGCAAAAAATGGCCTACATGAAAGATCCCAGTGGAAAGAAAGGGCCATCAAAGAAGGAATACTTTCTCTAAAGGGAGGAGAGAACTTCCACTTTGCTTATGGCCCTGTCTAATAATGATGGTGTTTGTAGACTCAAAAGGCTTCCATAGCCTTGGAAGCTCATGACAAGAGCCTCAGGTGATCTGACATCATAAATAAGAGTGTTAATTGTTAAATTACCAATAAGAGTCACTGTGCCCTGACTTCCCTTGCAGGACCTCTGTCCTTAATGAGTTGTACTATGAAAATTAATGGTAAAACTGTCTTCAAACAGTACTTTATACTTTGTGTGTCTGTGTGGGTGCAAACTGTTGAAATCTTTACTTAGTATAGAGTTGATCTTCTGTATATAAAGATAATTTTAAATGATCGTTAATGAAGAATAGGATGGGAGAGGGAGTAGGAGGTGGGATGAGAGTGGGGGTGGGAGGGGTATGGGGGAAGAACTACTATATTGAAAAAGTTGTACCTATGAAATTTATATTTATTAAATAAATGCTTTCTTAAAAAAAGGATAGCCACTTCCCCACAAAAATGCCCTTCATTAATCTCTAGAACCTAAGAACATATTACCTTATATGCAAAAGAGACTTTGTAGATGTGACTAAGTTTATAAGGAGATTATGTTGAATGGCATAAGTATCCTTACAAGATTGCTAACTGATGAAATGGTACTGTTGCATTTCCTCAATCCTGTTGAACCAGAGGTAGCTCCTCATCTTTTTGTTGTCATTGATGGTCACAACGGGTCAGTTTTCTGGCTGAAAGCACTACATTTTGCAGTTGTCTGGTAAGTTCTTCATGATTCCATTTAGGTGAAACATATAGGCAGAAATAGTGTATAACTAGTCCTGTATGCTTTCTACCACATCCCATATGGAGGCAAAGAATGTTCAGTTTGTCCACAACTGTTGTCATTATACTAGGATTGTTCACTGGGTTAAGGAGGAGCCTACCAGATTTGTCCTTTGAAAAGTTACTTTGTTTGGTCCAAAATTAAGAAATTTGGGGAGTCGGACTTTGAAATTACATAAACATCCTGTTCTTCATTGGTCCTCTGAAAATCTCACAATCTGTAAATCACCATTGCCTATAAAATTATTGTATTTGAATTTATGAATCTTAAATGTCCTATTTCAATTCTTGCTTTATACTTGTATTTGCTGGTCTTTTCCAGAATTTTAATGTTAATCAAAATTCATTTTCTATCTATATAATAAAGTTTTTTGGTTTAAAAAAATAAAATGCATTGTCTCTCACCTCTTCTGAAATCTCAATGCCATCAGTAAAAAAATACAAAAACAGAATATAATGTTGTCAATGCTTTTCTAAAAAAAAAGTCACATCAAAATAAAATAGGCTGATAAATTTCTGGAGGGAAAAAATAGAAATCAATTGAGGGCAATATTGACCAAAGTAGAAGAACAGGAGTTCAGAATAGAAACATGAAAGATTTATAGTAGTAAAAGACCAAGAAGTCATTTATTTCTAGGCTGCTCTGTTTTTTATCTGGTATTTTCCAAATATTCCACAGACTCTTGAGGCCGCTAATATGCCTTCAATATATTCATTTTTATTTAGGTTAGTCAGAAATATTATTAATAATTAAAGAAGTCAAGTGGCCTAATGTATGAACAAAATGATCTTTAAAAATGAAAGAACCCAAAAAGTTTATCTGTTAGGTATTCATTCTGAAAAACTACATAAATATATATGTATATAAAATGACATAAATAAATAAATATATATGTGTGTGTGTGAGAGAGAGAGAATAACTGGAGGATATAGCCCAGTGAAACTTAAAAGAATTCATGAAAGAACACAACATGAGATAAAAGAAATAGTCAAATTTCACCAGGATTGCATCAAAAAATAACCCCAGTTGGACCACCAATAATCAGGCCTAAAAATAACTTTTAATGCAAACTGAAAGCTAAAGTGAAAGGACTTCTCTAAATATAAAATTAAGATGATAGAATATTCAATTATAGAAACTGTAAATATATTATAATATTGTAAGAATGATAGAACCTGAAATATTTTCAGGGTATGTGGAATGTAGGTGCTTTCTGCTTTGTCAATGGGAAAAGGCAACTAAAAACTCCCAGGAGAGAAGATTGTACTAGGAAATCATAATTCAAATACATAAAACTAAATGAACATAGCATTGATTTGAAAGAGGCAGAGAGAAAGACAGAGACAGCAAGCAGGGCCTTCCCATTACTGGTTCACTCTCATTTCCCTACAATGGCAGGGGCTGTGTCAAACCAAAGCCAGGAAACTGGAACTCAATCCACATCTCCCACATGGGCGGCAGGGACCCAACCACTTGAGCCATCATCTCTTGCCTCCCAGGGTGCACATTAGCAGGAAGCTGGAATCAGAAGCCAGTCTGGAACTCAAATCCAGGCCCTCCAATTTAGCATAAGGGCCTTCCAAGCAGTATCTTAACTGCTGTACCAAATGCCCACCCCAAATCCTGACATCTATAGTATTCTCACTTGAGAGATACAGAATGAGAGACAGGATGACCTAAAGGTCAGTTACTCACATTTACTCATGATAGTGCTATAAATTATATTCTTAGCAACCATTTTTTTTTTTTGACAGGCAGAGTGGACAGTGAGAGAGAGAGACAGAGAGAAAGGTCGTCCTTTGCCATTGGTTCACCCTCCAATGACCACCGCGGCCGGCGCACTGTGGCCAGCGCACCGCACTGATCTGATGGCAGGAGCCAGGAGCCAGGTGCTTTTCCTGGTCTCCCATGGGGTGCAGGGCCCAAGCACCTGGGCCATCCTCCAGTGCACTCCCTGGCCACAGCAGAGAGCTGGCCTGGAAGAGGGGCAACCGGGACAGAATCCGGCACCCCGACTGGGACTAGAACCTGGTATGCCGGCGCCGCAAGGCGGAGGATTAGCCTAGTGAGCCGCGGCACTGGCCCACAATCATGTTATTGAATATACCATTTAATGGTTTATGGTTTTTAGCAACAACACATAAACAAAGCACATAAACATGTACACAAAGCAGGATGTATAAATCTAGACAAGATCAAAGAAATGGCAGAAAGATAACAAAGGTTGCAAAGAAATTTAGACATATTGATTACATTTTGGAGAGACATTAGATGGTAACTAAAGTTGAAAGATCAAGAAATAGAATATAAAATAACAATATTCTAACTTAAAATAATGGGAGTCCTTGGGTAGGATGGTTGAAGTTAGTATAAGTGCACTATATTCTTTAAGTTATGGTAGTAGTTTAAGAAGTTATTAAAATGAGTGTGGTGATCACTGAAGAACTAAAAGCAAAAACTTAAAATTGGTTATCTCTTAGAAATGAGGCATGCCCCCTGCTTTCCTGTGTAAACTTTCACCATGTTCATATATTGCTTATGCCATCTGCAAAATTTATGTAACATATCCAAAGAAACTGGGCACAGTAACTCAGAATGACTTGCTCAATATAAATATCACCTGGATTAACACATCCGCATTTCTTCATAAATGCATCCCAATATTATAGTAGCTTTGTCAGCTCATCAAGTTTTAAGGATTTATTGTAAGTATCAACTACTACATTCAACAAGTCATTTCATAAGAACATGTATTAAACCACAACTAAGTGCAAAACTTTACTTGTCCAGATTTCTATAAAATAATGATAACTTTACATTCAATTTTCTGTTGGTTGATAAATAAACATCTTTGACTTTAATTACATTCCTTCACTGACCTGGAAGAGATAGTTCCCAGGAGAAAGTAGAATTTTCCACTTTCAATACACATGATTTTGTGCAATGTGAGATGCCCCTTTTTGGCTAGTCCAAATTCAGCCTGGCGTACACAGGTGAATAGGCTACACCCTACATTGTTCCATCCTGTGTGGGTGAAGGAGACTGAGTTTCCTATTTTACTCCCATTTTTATTTCTTTCATACTCTTGCCAGCATCCTAACATTGGTTTTGATTCTTTTTTTCTCCTTAGAATTCGCCTTCATTATGGCTTTACTTCTTAAAATATGTTTTCTGTCTTGTCCAAAAATGCTTCCTCTCCCAATAGCCATGGCTGGAACTACAGACTTCCAGCCTGCCTGCTCTCCCTTGCAACAGGAAGAACAGGCCCAAGTAATTGACCAGTATTATCTAGAAAAGAAAACAGCTAGTCCCTCACAGCCCTTGGAACAGCTACTGGCTGCTGTGCCTCCTCATATTCATTAAATAAATAGGTCCCTTGGACACTCCTGGGAAGCTACTAAGAATTATTCCATTTTACAACAGCAGACCACGACTCCTTCTGAAGTACAGAGCCAGAGTAATATGCAAAATTTTAAATAAGGTTCTAAAATACTTTGATCATCTATTCCCACTATTTTTGCCAAGTGTTTCATATACCTTAGGATTATTTTTAAATATTTCAATCTTTCTCATTGAATATTCCCAAATTACTTAATTTTCTTGTATAAATCTGTTACTTTACAATTGTCTCATTATTTCTGTTACTATCCTTGACCCCAACTTCTCACCAAGAGTTAGATAAATGGAAATATTGGAAGGGGTGGGGGAAAATTACGATTCTTTACCTTTCCCTTAAACTAGTAGTTCTTAAGGTACAGTCCCCAGTTGAGCAACAGAATCACCTGGAAGCTTGTTAGAAATGTAAAAGTCGGATCTCACCCCAGATCTACTGAACCAAGAGTTCTAGCAGCAGAACACACTTGTTCTGTTTGTATAAGCCTTACAGTTGTTTCTGGTGCTCACTGGAGTCAGGAATCATTGCCTTAGGAAAATCACGCAAAGGTAAACTTAACCAAACTTCAGAGATTGTGCAGAATTATGTATAATAAGCATTTTGATCTGAAGAAATAATTCTAGTCCATTTAAATTAGCATAATATTATCTTCAGATAACTTCTATTTTCTACTTTAGTTTGGGGAGAAAATCTAAATGAAGAAGAAAGGGAAAGAGAGAAAGAGAATATTTGGACTTTTTAATAATTAAGTTTTGCTGTTGGACAACAAACTAGGAAGAACAGCAGACAGAAATCTTCTGAGAATGCTCTTGAATGAAATTGTTAGAGTTTCGAGATCAAGGACACTCCAGGAATACTTCCGTTGGAATTCACTGACACGGCTCTTCACCAGATGTGTTTGTTTGACTGGATATGGGGTTGTTAGTCTGGTGGAGTCATATTTCTCAAGGTTTTATGAAAAGAAGGCTTTAAAATAAATAAATCAACAGGACGCTAGTGCAGGTGGACTATGTTAGTCCTGTGCTAGTCCAGGACTGGGCAAGCAGTTTACTGGGGCCTTTGTAGTTTATATAGTCTCTGCCCTAGGACTGGAGCCTGCTGTTGCAGCAATGAAGTATCCATTAATAATTTGTAAATAAATGAGTGTGGCTATTTGCCAATAAAACTTGCTACACATATACAGGACAGGGAGCTAGTTTAACCTGGGGCTATAGTTTGTTACCCTTGGCTAGACCATAGATACATGGCTCCTCACATAAGCACAGGTACAGGTGAGCTAAATGGGTAGAAAGGAGTCACTGTGGGTGATGAAGGCACTCATGAAAATTAGTACCTTTGAAAATATCCCCCAGGGCTTCGCTAAACTTAACCACAGTAAACCAGCCCCAGCCTGTTTTGCAAAAGCATGAAACTGCTCTATTTTTCTTAACTTCATGCTTGCACTCCTCCACACAGATCCTATTGCCTACAATGCCTGGGTTTCTTTTCCTGAAGTCATGTCCCTGGTAAAGAAGCCAATCCCAGGTGCTCTGCTTTGATTCCCTTTGGTGAAATTACACAAGGTTACCAAGCAGCATCCCTCTATGATTCTCAGAACTGTAAGTCACACTTTACTATCACGAAAGCCCATCTACTTGTTGACAATTTGCGAGTAAATCACAGAAAATGTTCTTCTGGAGGTTAGCTTGGGGAGGATTCAGACACTCTTTTCTCCTGCCGTGTTTTTTCATCTCTCTATTCTTCACCTTCTATTCTCATGAATGTCTGCCCACTGAAACAAGGAAATCCTCTGTATCTGGTTCCCTAGTTAATCCCTAAACCACATTTGGTGATTCTTGCTGATTGTACCCTAGAAATTTCTTGAACAAAACTCCAGTCTTCCCAAATAAGTCTTTAAATGGCCATTTCTATAAAATTCCTCTATTTTTTCCAAGGAAGCCATTTTTCTACTTTGCCAAAGGGCTTCAGCTCATCCTTTTTCCTCCTACCCCCAAAATCTAAGCATTCATGATTCATCCAGCATCATGGGTTGTACCCATCTCCATTCATGCCTAATTCTCCTGGTTTTCTCAAGTGCACATAAATACTAAAATATCCTACACCAAGTAGAGTTAATTACTCCAATCCACCTAAACTGAGATTTTCTCTAAATCCACTTAATTGAAATAGAGAAAGGATTTCTCTTGCAGTAACATTCCTCCTTTTTTCTTTTACATTGATAAATCCTAACAATCCTTAGAGAACAAACAGGAAACAGGAATACCTCTTCTTGAAAACATATTTCACTTTTCTCTGTTCGGCAGCACACCTGCACCAGATGAGTAAAATTCCCCAAAACGGCTTGAAACTGTGTCTCTGATGCATACAGTTTCTGCTTCACAAGGTTGCTGAGGAACCTAAATAACAAAGAAACAAACAAACAAACAAACAAAAACCACTAGTACTCCCTAAGTTCTAGAAAGCAAGACTGCACAGCCGCCTTTTTTATCCTGAGCACCACACCACCCATGCCTTTTCACCATTCCCACTCTTAAGACTGAAGGCTGGCCGGTGCCACAGCTCAATAGGCTAATCATACGCCTGTGGCACCAGCACCCCGGGTTCTAGTCCCGGTTGGGGCACCGGATTCTGTCCCAGTTGCTCCTCTTCCAGGCCAGCTCTCTGCTGTGGCCAGGGAATGCAGTGGAGTGCTTGGGCCCTGCACCCACATGGGAAACCAGGAGAGGCACCTGGCTCCTGGCTTCGGATCAGCATGGTGCGCAGCCACAGCATGCCGGCCGTAGCGGCCATTGGAGGGTGAACCAACGGTAAAGGAAGACCTTTCCCTGTCTCTCTCTCTCACTGTCCATTCTGCCAGTAAAAAAAAAAAGAAAAAGAAAAAGAAAAACTGAAGGCTTTCACTATGGAAGTCAGTCTGGAGATTCCTCAGAAACCTGAATATAACCCTACCATACAGCCCAGCCATCCCACTCCTTGGAATTTACCCAAAGGAAATTAAATTGGCAAACACAAAAGCTCTCTGCACCTTAGTGTTTATTGCAGCTCAATTCACAATAGCTAAGACCTGAAATCAACCTAAATGCCCATCAACAGTAGACTGGTTAAAGAAATTATGGGACATGTACTCTATAGAATACTATGCAGCAGTCAAAAACAATGAAATCCGGTCATTTGCAACAAAATGGAGGAATCTGGAAAACATCATGCTGAGTGAATTAAGCCAGTTCCAAAGGGACAAATATCATATGTTCTCCCTGATTGGTGACAACTAACCGAGCACCAAAAAGGAAACCTGTTGAAGTGAAATGGACACTATGAGAAACGGTGACTTGATCAGCCCTTGCCCTGACTGCTGAACAACTTAATACTTTATCCCTTTTAATATTTTTTTTGTTCTACTTAATACTATTGGTTGAACTCTGTAATTAACACACAATTATTCTTAAGTGTTGAAACTTAACTGAAAAGTTATCCCTATTAAATATAAGAGTGGGAATAAGAGAGGGAAGAGATGTACAATATGGGACATGCTCAAGCTGACTTGCCCCAAATGGTGGAGTTAGAAATGTGCTAGGGGATTCCAATACAATCCCATCAAGGTGGCATGTACCAATGCCATCTCACTAGTCCATGTGATCAATTTCTGTTCACAATTGATCATGATGATAGGACTAAAAGTCAAAGGCATCACATAAACAAGACTAGTGTCTGAAAATACTAACTGATAGAATAAAAAAGGGAGAGAACGATCCAACATGGGAAGCGGGATACACAGCAGACTCATAGAATGGCAGATCTGGCCTCAGAATCAGCCCTTAAGGCATTCGGATATGGCTGAAGAGCCCATGAGAGCATTTCAGGCATCGAAAGCCAAGACACTCTGGCAAAAAAAAAAAAAAAAAATTTAAATGACCTAAATGAAAGATCTCTGTGAGTGAGATCCCAGTGGAAAGAACAAGTCATCAAAGGAGGAGGTACCTTTCTCTGAAGGGAGGAGAGAACTTCCACTTTGACTATGACCCTGTCAGAATAAGATCGAAGTCGGTGAACTCAGAAGGCCTCCATAGCCTTGGCAACTCATGACAAGAGCCTAGGGTGATTACTGATGCCATAAACAAGAGTGTCAATTTGTTAAGTCAACAACAGGAGTCACTGTGTACTTACTTCTCATGTGGGATCTGTCCTTAATGTGTTGTCCAATGTGAACTAATGCTATAACTAGTACTCAAACAGTATTTTTCACTTTGTGTTTCTGTGTGGGTGCAAACTGTTGAAAGCTTTACTTAATATATGCTAAATTGATCTTCTGTATATAAAGATAATTGAAAATGAATCTTGATGTGAATGGAAGGGGAGAGGGAGTGGGAGAGGGGAGGGTTGTGGGTGGGGGGGAAGTTATGGGGAGGAAAAAGCCATCGTAATCCATATTCTGTACTTTGGAAATTTATATTCATTAAATAAAAGTTAGAAAAAGACTGAAGACTTTGAAAATAGCTTGATGTCTTCATGGTGTTCACAATGTCCATCCCTATCTTCAAGTGCCCTGTTGTCACCCACTGGAGATGATACAGAAGAAAAGTGCCCAGTGGGAGAGGGGTGATACACCGCGTTCAATTGCACTTTGCCCTCAGGACACTTGACATGGACAGTTGGAACAAAGCAGGATGGGTAACTGAGTCACTTGACCCCAGAACTGAGATGCCACCCATCCTCTGTTGCCCCACTGCCACCAACAGCAATGTCTTCAAGGCAAATGTGATACCAGTGAAGGCCCTGGGCAGTGGCCAACACAGTCACCACAGGGAAGGCTCTGCTTTTTCTGGCTCCCAGGATGGTCCCACAGGCCCTACAATTACAGATGAAGCAGATGGTCATAGTTTACCTACCCAGTGGAAACAATAAAAGGACCTCCAGCTGAAGGTGGTGACCCACACCTTCACATCCCCTATTAGAACCATGAGGACAAAGCAGAGTCACATAGCTACAAATAATGGGGAAGCATAGCCCATGATTTCTTTTCCAGAAACTACCATTGTGATGGGGCTAATTTGAGAAGCATGTGAAGCTGTTAACCTCTGAGGGCCAGCGAGACAAAGCCAAAGGAAGCTGGATAATTTGGGGGCCAACATTGGAATGGAGAGCAGTTCCTGATGCTTGGGAGATAGCAGCATCCTATATGAGTACTGACTGGAGTTCCCACTGTCACACTTGTGATCCAGCTTCCTGCTAATGTGTCTGGAAGAGCAGCAGAAGATGGCTCAAACTTTTGGGATACTACTACCCACACGGGAGACCTGGATGGAGCTCCTGGCTCCTGGCTTTGGCCTGGCCCAGCACTAGTCATTGTGGCCATTCGATGAGTGAACCAGAGGATGGAAGAGTCTCTCTCTCTCTCTCTCTCTCTCTGTCTCTCCTCTCTCTCTCTATCTCTTTCTATCTTTCTCTCCTTCCCTCCCTCCCCCCTTCTATCTCCCCTCCCTCCCCCTTTCTCTCTCTGTCTTACCCCTCCATCTCTCTCTCTCTGTAATTCTTTCAAAAAATAAATAAATCTTATTTTTAAAAAGAAGCTGGGTGATTTTAACTAAGTCTATGGTTACCCCCGATTCCAAGTCCTAGAAATTGAGGGAAAATTAGATAGAGGACAAAGATTTCTATACAAAAATATTCATTGTGACAATTCATAATAGAAACTAAAGACAATCTTCATGCCTAACAATAAAGAATAGCTAAATTCATATAATAGAAGAGTGCATAGTCATTAAAATTCTATTTTGAGGAATAATTAGTGGCAAATATATGAATTCTAATTTGTTAAAAAGCTATATTAAGAAATAATGTCAACAGTCAATGTCTTTTACGTGTATTAATATTTACTGTATTTCAGGCAATGTGTAAGAATTTCATGTCTGTTATCTCATGCTATGATTTCTATATTCATTTTAAAAGGCTCTATCTCATCTCCATTCCATCTCCGTTCCATACATACTGCATCTGTAATGGTGGTTTCTAACTCCTTAGGAATAATATGAGGGGACTTGAAAAATGAAAAATGTAATCAAAAGATAAGTTTATTTTGGTGTAAAACTTTTTGAAATCTGTGCATAGTTTTTTCATAATACAGATTTTCCATGACCTTGCTGAAGAACCTTAGGACATACATCACCAACTGGTGGTGAGAGCCTCCCCCTGCCCCAGAAGACATGAGGATCAAGAACCACATGCAGGGGCCAGTGCTGTGGCTCACTTGGTTAATGCCCTGCCTGTGGTACCGGCATCCCATATGGGCACCGGGTTCTAGTCCCAGTTGCTCCTCTTCCAGTCCAGCTCTCTGCTGTGGCCTGGGAAGGCAGTGGAAATGGCCCAAGTCCTTGGGTCCCTGCACCCCCATGGGAGACCAGGGAGAAGCACCTGGCTCCTGGCTTCAGATCAGCATGGCTCCAGCTGTGGCAGCCATTTTGGGGGTGAACCAATGGAAGGAAGACCTTTCTCTCTGTCTCTCTCTCTCTCTCACTGTCTAACTCTATCTGTCAAATAAAAAAAAGAATCACATGTGAGGACTCATCCAGGAGACAAGAAGCACGTCCCAAATTTCAACTCAGTGAAAAAGACTCACTCAGTGGAGGACAAGAGTAATTCTGTGGTTCCCCAGTGAAACCTCCATAAGACTCATTTCTGAGTTCTGTGTGGATTGGGTAACTTCTAAGTTCTGCAAATCATAAAAACACCAGCAGCTCTGCCATGGCATCCTCTCAAAGCGCATAATTCAGGAGAAATGGAGGGGTATGACCTTCTTTTCATGACAAAACATAAACCAGCTTTGCCTTTTCAAAGTGTCCAGTTTGTGGCAGCTCATGACAAGAGCCTCGGATGATCACTGGTGTCTTATAAATAAGAGTGTCAATTATTAAATCAGCAATAGGAGTCACTGTGCACTTACTCCCCATATAAGATATCTGCCCTTAATGTGTTGTACCAAGCAAATTAACGGTAAAACTAGTCTTCAAACAGTACTTTATACTTTGTGTGTCATGGGTGCAATCTGTTGAAATCTTTACTTAGTATATACTAAGTTGATCTGCATATAAAGAGAATTAAAAGTGAATCTTAATGAAGAATGGGATGGGAGAGGGAGTAGGAGATGGGATGGTTGTGGATGGGAGGGAGGTTATGGGGGGAAAATTGCTATAACCCAAAAGTTGTACTTTTGAAATTTATATTTATTAAATAAAAGTTAAATAAATAAAAGTATCCAATCTGCAGATGAGCAGGAGACAGAGTACCTGGAGGGCACATGTCTCCTCAGTGGGGCAGGAATGGTGCCACGGATAGCATATCTGGCCAACTCATTGGGAATGGGGGGTGAGAGGAGTTCCATAAAGTGCCTGCTTGAGAATTT